GTCTAAGTCTCTTTGTAAGTCATTAAGAGCTTGCCTTATGTATCTGGGTGCTCCTGTATTGGGTGTGTATATATTTAGAATCGTTAGCTCTTCTTGTTGCATTGATCCTTTTACCATTATGTAATGTCCCTCTTTGTCTCTTATGATCTTTGTTGCTTCAAAGTCTAATTTGTCAGAGATGAGAATTGCAACTCCTGCTTTTTTTTTTGCTCTCCATTTGCTTGGTAAGTCTTCCTCCATCCCTTTATTTTGAGGCTTTGTGTATCCTTGCATGTGAGATGGGTTTCCTGGATACAGCACACTGATGGGTTTTGTCTTTTTATCCAATTTGCCAGTCTGTGTCTTTTGATTGGGGCATTTAGTCCATTCACATTTAGGGTTAATATTGTTATGTGTGAATTTGATACTGCCATTTTGGTGCTAGCTGGGTGTTTTGTCCTTTAGTTGAGCTGGTACTTGTTGTTCCTTTATATGTGTAGAGCCTCTTTCAGGAGCTCTTGTAGAGCTGGCCTGGTGGTGACGAAATCTCTGAGTACTTGCATGTTCCCAAAGGATTTTATTTTTACTTCACTTATGAAGCTTAGTTTGGCTGGATAGGAGATTCGGGGTTGAAAGTTCTTTTCTTTAAGGATGTTGAATATTGGCCCCCACTCTCTTCTGGCTTGTAGGGTTTCTGCTGAGAGATCTGCTGTGAGTCTGATGGGCTTCCCTTTATGAGTAACCTGACCTTTCTCTCTGGCTGCCATTAGTATTTTTTCCTTCATTTCTACCCTGGTGAATCTGACGATTATGTGCCTTGGGGTTGCTATTCTTGACGAATATCTTTGTGGTGTTCTCTGTATTTCTTGGACTTGAAAGTTTGCCTGCCTTGCTGGGTTGGGGAAGTTTTCCTGGATAACATCCTGAAGAGTATTTTCCAGCTTGGATTCGTTCTCTTCATCGCATTCAGGTACGCCTATCAAACGTAGATTAGGTCTTTTCACATAGTCCCACATTTCTTGGAGACTTTGTTCATTCCTTTTTACCCTTTTTTCTCCAGTCTTGCCTTCCCATTTTATTTCATTGAGTTGATCTTTGACCTCTGATATCCTTTCTTCTGCTTGGTCAATTCGGCTGTTGATACTTGTGCATGCTTCACGAAGTTCTCGTGTCGCGTTTTTCAACTCCATCAATTCACTTATATTCCTTTCTATTTTGTCCATTCTCGTTAGCATTTCGTCAAATCTTTTTTCAAGGTTCTTAGTTTCTTGGCATTTGGTTAGAACATGTTCTTTAAGTTCACAGAAGTTTCTTACTACCCACCTTCTGAAGTCTGATTCTGTCATTTCATCACACTCGTTCTCCATCCAACCTTGTTCCCTTGCTGGTGAGGAGTTGTGATCCCTTTTAGGAGGAGAGGTGTTCTGATTTCGGGTGTTTTCATCCTTTTTGCGCTGGTTTCTTCCCATCTTAAGGATTTATCCACCTGTCGACTTTGTAGTTGCTGGCTTTCAGATTGGGTCTCCAATCTTTCAGATTGACGTTCTGTTTGTTGATGATGAGGTTATTTCTGTTTCTTGGTTTTCCTTCTGACAGCTTGGCCCCTCTGCTGTAGGTCTGCTGAGGTTCACTCCAGGCCCTGCTTGCTTGGGGTTCACCTGCAGCAGCTGATGAACAGCAAGGGTTGTTACCAGTTTTCTTCTTCTGCTATCTTTGTCCCAGACGGATACCCGCCTAGTGTCAATCTGATCTCTCTTTTATTAGGTGTGTTTTTGGATATATAGGGGTCAGGGAGCTGCTTGAGGAGACGGTCTCTTCTTTATAGGAGCTCAAATGGTGAGCTGTGAGCTCTGTTGTTGTTCATTCAGAGCTGCTGGGCAGGCACTTTTAGGTCTGCTGCAGCAGAACTCATAAACTGCTTTTTGTTCCCAGGTGCTCTGTCCCAGGGATTTAGGGCTTTATTTATGAGTTTCCGTTATGCTGCCGCCTTCTTTTTTTTTTTTTTTCCTTCAGACCTGCCCAGCCCAGCAAGGAGGCAGCCTAGTCACTGTCGGCCTATAGCAGATTTGCTGAGCTGCTGTGGGCTCCGCCCCGCTCCCGAGTGAACTTCCCTGCAGTCCTGTTTATATGGGTGTAGTTAGAACTGCTTTGGCGATGGTGGCCCGCCTCTGTTGAGGCGGAGTCTCTTTGCTGTGGTGGGTTGCCTTGGCAACGGCGGGCTGCCTCAGCAATGGCGGGTTGCCTTGGCAACGGCGGGCTGCCTCGATAATGGCGGACGCCCCTCCCTCACAGAGCTGGACCGTCCCGGGTTCAGCTGCGCTTGCTGTGAAACTCTCAATCCAGAGTTTCTGGTTGCTTTTCTTTTGTGGGGGTGGGGCCAGCCGAGCCTGATCGCCTGGCTCCCTGCCTCAGAGCCTTTTTTAAGTTGGTGTTCCAGTCGCCTGTTGGAGAGGCGCCGGGGTCTGTTTGTTTTCCCCTACGGCCACTCACTGCACTGGCTTAAACAGCGGCACTGAGGTTTGTGGCACTTTTTTTTTTTTTTTTTGCCCTGGAGTCTACTGTCCTGGTTCTCTGCTCAGTCCCCTTTTTGAACCGGCGAATGGGCGACTTCCCGTGGCTCCGATCGCCAGCCGGTGTATTTTGTAGGGAGAACCGCGGCTCCGGGGCACGGACAAAGCAGCGGCGCTGGGCAAAGCAGCGGCGCTGGCCGGCACAGCCGCGCTGGCCGAAACAGCCGCACTGGCGACCGTGGAGCTCCTCCGCCCGGGAATTTCGTGGTCTGTGGGCAATAAAAACGCGGCGTCCACTCACCCTCTGCGCTTTCACTGGTAGCTGCAATCCTGAGCTGTTCCTAAACGGCCATCTTGGATCGGTATCACCGTCATATTTCAATTGGTTACAAGAGGGAAGAGAGAGCCATCATTTCTACAACACCAACCAGATACCAGCCATGTACATAACTGTCTTCTCAGAATGATACTAGTGTAATATTATTAGTCCCAGCTTAAATAGACCAAACATCCTCTAGTCATGAATACCTTCACACACTGCTTATGGTTGTCTAATTATCATAATCAAATTTGGGAAATTAATAGGGCAGTATCTGTTCAAATGAATAACACACATACTCGATGGCCAGCAATCCAACTTCTGTGTGGAATTCTAAAGAAACGTGTTGCAAAAGGATGCTCATTGTAGCATAGTGATAACTGGAAACAACCTGAATGTTAATCAGTAGGAAAATATATAAACAAGCTATAAAACAAGCATTTTGGAATACTACTAATTTAAAATAATTAGTTAAAACATGTATCTAGTACATAATACAAGAGATACTGTTTGGTTTGAGTTGTAGAACAATAAAAGCAATAATATTACTATTTATACATAGATATTTATGTAAAGACACCTTAACTGACAATGGTCACTTCTGGATAAGTGAGTGGAAGGAAGATGGTCAAAAGAAGGTCTTTAACCTTATCTATAACAATTTTTATATTAAGAATGTGTTCATGTATTATTGCATAACTAAAGAGCACGCTTTTTTTTTTTCTTGTCTCCTTGAATCTGCTCCTCTTGGGTCTGTGAGCCAAACCTGCCTACACAAGGTTGTATTTATAACCATTTTCCTACACTGGAGAATGTATACCTGTTTTGTCTATAATCTTTAATTCTCTGCATTTGTCTGAGCAAGTATTCTCAATTATCAGCAGAAAACCTGGGAACATATGCAAAAGATTCCTGGAAACACTGAGCCTGCAGTATTGCTGTTGATATGAGGGGTGGGGGTGGATGAAAATGCTGCAAGTTTGACAACAACAACAAGAAAGAATACAGGACTTTTGGCAGTTTGAGTACATGCATAGTCCTGTTTTAAGAACACATGTAACATCTACATTATAGTTCTGTAAAAGTCTGTCAGTGTTTACCTTGTAAATTAATGATTCTGATTTTTAATAGTCCCCTTGCTCTAAAGAAAAAAAATATTTATACCTTTGTGTAAAAAAATCTTGCAGTTGTGCCCATTGATTGAAATTATGGTAAGGTATGGGGAGATTGGGTAATGCCATCAACTCTGCACACTAACGAAGTTACTGCAGTTTTGCTGATTTTGAGGAAATATGTAAATAATGCCAGCATGATGGATAGAGTGATCATTTTATTGGATCATTTTTAAAAATTATATTCTTTCACTTTTATAGATGATTTTTAACAGCAGAGCCTACTTTTTGAAATTAGACTAGAAGCAGAGTAGACAAACCATAATTAAGAGTCAGCTTGAATTGATTTAAAATTAATTACTCTTAGTTGAGTTTTCAAAGGTAGTTTCTTATATTGGTTTGAGAATTATTTTTTCTAAGTTTTATTTTATTTTTTAAATTTTTGGCACAAATTAAGTGTATGTATCTATGGGATGCATAAGACATTTTGATAGAGGCATGCAATATGAAATAAGAACATCATGGAGAACAAGGTCTTTATCTCCCGGTTTGAGAATTATTAAATTTTATGTCGTTTGATGAGAAATTACTTAATGAGTTAAATGTGCACTATTTAGGTGATGGTTACTTTAAAAGTCTAGACTTCACCACTATGGAAAATATCCATGTAACAAAACTGTACTTGTATCTATTAAATTTATATGAATTTTAAAAAAGAAAAAAAATACTGAAAGAAAAGTTTTGTTTGATAAAATATTATATCTTGTTAATTGCAAACACATAATAAAATTTGGATATATATGAATACAGAGTTCTTGAAGGAGAAACAAAAAGAATGCAACCTAACAGTACAAAGAGAATATATTGCTGTGAAAGCGCTCTAGAGTCTTTCATCATTGGCTTATGTGAGAAGACAACAAAGTAATTCAGTTCTTTGGAAAGATGGACATCATCTAAGAAAGCACTAAATAATGCTCTTATTTCTGACTAACTGTATTATTATAAAAATAAAGAAAAAAATACCTCAAGAACTTAAGATTTCCAAATAATTTCTGAACTCCCTTTTGTTTCTCTTAACAGGAACTCCATTCTCCAACTTTAAAAATATCTACATGCGCCCCAAGCACTCTACATATAAGCCAAAGTACTGAACAGGTAAAAAAAGTTGTGAATTACATTAGATTTGTTCCTCTTTTTTATATGGAAATATTCTTCATGCATGTAAGCAATCTTTACACCCTCATAAGACTTTACACATTCACACCATGTGAGGATCATAAAATATGAAAGAGGATTCTCACATATGAGAATCAGCTCAGCCTATTAAAGTAATGTGAAACAAGTGCTATGAATTAGATTCTTCTGTTTCATTGCCTATTCAACATAACTGCTTTTAGTTTGAGTGCAATTTAATTTAGCCAAGGATCTCCTAGTGAGTATGGATGAAATAACCAGATCTCAAATTGATTGAAGACTTGGCTTTATGAGTGATAGTATTATGAGTTCATATTCAGAGCGAATACCTTATAGGGTCATAACTAACCCTTCCTATAGGTGTATGATTTGAAAGACACACAAGGGTCTATTTCCTTAGCCTTCATGGCCTAATAATCCCACTTTTAGGATTATTATTGAATCTAGACATTGTATATTTAAAAGGTAGCTATAATAATAAACAGAATATTAAAATATGTGTTTTATTAAGTAATTGCCATATATCAAAAAGTAAATTCTAGAAAGCAAAACATAAAGTACACTAAGTTGGTTGTTATATGAAAGAGGAATAAAGGGGGCATGGGATTTCGAGGCTAGGAAGGTGGGAGACGCTGTTTTAAGAAAACAATCTGACCCAGATGAGGGGTCAGGATGTGAACTTGGACAGTAAGGAGATAAATGAACAAAACCTGGTTTTTAGTCCTTGAGTATAGCAAGGAAAATGTGATATTATACAGAACAAATAAGAAGATTATCAAAGAAAAGTTTCCCTACCACTTCTCAGTTTGGTCTAGATTTGAGTTAAGTCAATTAGAGTAATGCACTTACCCAGCTTACATTTGATGAATACCAAGTATGTGCTGCATATTGCACTAAGATGAATTACACACAATTACTATTTTCAAGGAGTTCACAGACTAGCATGGGCCACATACTTAACAAACCATTGGACGGTGGGATAAAGGTTATAAGTGACTTAGAAATGCAGCTCTGTAGGACCACCAAAGTGAGATTGCCTCAGAAAGTAAGTTCACTTAAATAACAGGGTGTTCACTACACTCAAACTCAGTCAAAAAAATTGTATTAACTTTTTTCCTAATTAAGGGTTTTAAAATTGGGTTTACTGTACATATTATTTCTGATAATGAAAATATGTTTGTTCTAGAAAATTATAGAACTATAAAAGAATATAAAGAAGCACAAACAAAAATTATTCATGATTCCTCCCCCCACCTAGAGATACTGCTCTTCATATTTTGCTGTGTTTTCTTCCATTCAAATACGAAACTGAGTTTATACCATGTATACAGTTTTATATTCTCTTTTTCTCACTTACATGATATCATGAGCTTTTAATATAAATTTGTATTATTCAAGACCATTATTTAATGGTTGCATATTCCAGTCTATGGATGATTATTCAATCTTTTCTGACTCCATAAGAGAATGTCTGCCTTGCTGAACCTTCATCAGTATTGTTATTTTTAAAAATTTCCTGTAAAAATATGACATTCTTCTGCTATGTTTGATTCTTAGTTTGGCCGAATACTTTTTGTTAAGTTTATTAACTATTTGCTCTTATTGTTTATAAATTGTTCATATCATTTGCTCATTTTCCATAAGTGTGATTTTATTCTCATTGGTATCTAAGAACCCTTTTTATATTGGTGATATTAACTCTTTTCCCTGCCATGGAACCCCCCACCTGCCCATTACCAGGCAGGGAACCACCGGCTTAGGCCTACAGCACAGAACCCCCATCCCAGGCTGATAGCATTGAGTGATTGCTGACCTGTATCTCTCTGGGTGGAGACCCAGGAGACAAGTAAAAGACCTTTGGCCACAACCACTGCTAATGTCCTCTCTGCTGCCTCCAAGTTGGGAAGAAAGCAAACACTGATATCTCCCTAGAAATTTAATGGATATCTCTGGAGTGCCATGCCACAATCTACAGCCAGCACTCAAGTGGGAGAGGAGCCCACACTTTCAGAGCATTGAGAGTGAGCCTAGCTGCAACTGTGAGAAAATAAGAGAGGAGCAACCGGACTGAGCAAGAGCCTACCAACTGACCACTATGCCTAAGCGCCACCTACTGGATCACATCCCAAAGCTTCAACAACAATACCTCACTAACATAACCCCTTGTGAAACCAAAGACAAGAAGTCAACTATTTAGAACCTGCACAAAACCTCTGAAGACATCCAAAAAAGAAGTCTATTGACTGTCCTCAATCTGCGTTGCAATTAAAGGAACAGCCACACACAAAGATAAGAAAGAACCAATGCAAGAACTCTGGCAACTCAAATGGCCAAAGTGGTTTATGTCCTCCAAATGATCATGCTAGTTCTCCAACAAGGGTTCTTAACCAGGCCGAACTGGCTGAGATAACAGAAAAATAATTTAGAATGTGGATAGAAAAAAAAAAACATCATTGAGATTTAGGAGAATGGAAAAACCCACTCTGAGGAAACTAATAATCACAATAAAATGATACAGGAGCTGATACATAAAATAGCTAGTAAAAAAAAGAACCCAACTGATCTGCTGGAGTTGCAAAACACACTAGAAGAATTTCACAAGGCAATCACAAGTATTAAAAGAAGAATACGCCAAGTGAAAGAAAGAATCTCAGAACCTGAAGACTGTCTATCTGAAGTAAGACAGACAAAAATAAATAAAAAGGAATGAAAATGAATGAATAAAACCACTGAGAAATATATGAGATTATGTAAACAATCTAAATCTATGAATTATTGACATCTCTGAAAGGGACAGGGAGAAAACAAACAACTTGGAAAACACATTTTAGGATATAGTCTATGAAAACTTCCCCAGCTTTGTTAGAGAGGCCAATAGTCAAATTTAGAAAATACAGAGAACCATGCAAGATTCTTCACAAGAAAATCATCCTCAAGACATATAATCAGCAGATTTTCCAAGGTCAAAATGAAAGGAAAAATGTTAATGGAAGGTAGGGAGAAGGGACAGGTTACTTAAAAAGGGACCCCCATCAGGCTAACAGTGGACCTCTGAGCAGAAACCCTATAAGCCAGGAGAGATTAGAGGCCTATATTCAATATTATTAAAGAAAAAAAATCATCAAACAGTGATTTCATATCCGTCCAAACTAAGCTTCTTAAGCAAAGGAGAAATAAGATTCTTTTCAGATAAGCAAATGCGAGGGAGTTTGTTACCACCAGACCTGACTTACAAGAGATCTTGAAAGGAGCGCTAAATATTGATAGTAAAGATAATTACCAGTCAATAGAATAACACACTTAAGTGCACAGACCAGTTACATTGTAAAGCAACCACACAAAAAAAAACCAGCATAATAACCAGTTAAGAAAAATATAACAGAATGAAATACACACATTTCAATACCAACCTTGAATGTAAATGGGCTAAGTGCCCCAGTTAAAAGACACAGAATGGCAAGCTAAAGAACCAAGGCTCCCACCAAAAATACTGTCTTCAAGAGACCCATCTCACATACAATGACATCCACAGGCTAAAAATAAAGGGATGGAGAAAAATCTACCCAGAAAATGGAAAAAAGAGAAAAGCACGGGTTGCAATCCTAATTTCAGACAAAACAGGCTTTAAACCAAGAAAAAAAAAAAGACAAAGAAGGGCATTACATAATGGTAAAGAGCTCAGTTCAACAGGAAGACTTCTATCCCAAACATATATGAAGATTCATAAAGCAAGTTCTTAGAGACCTACAAAGAGATGTAGACTCCCATGCGATAATAGTGGAAGGCATTAACACTCCACTGACAGTATTAGACAGCTCATTGAGGCAGAAAATTAACAAAGATACTCAGGACCTGAACTCAAGATTGGACGAAATAGATCAGATAGCACTCTCTGGAACTCTCTACCCCAAAACAACATAATATGCATTCTTCTCATCATCACATAGCACATACTCTAAAATCCAACAAACCATCTTTTATAAAACAATCCTCAGCAAATGCAAAAGAACTGAAATCGTACCAAATACACTCTTGGAACACAGTGCAATAAAAATCGAAGTCAAATTTTTAAAACACGCTCAAAACCATGCAATTACATGGTAATTAAACAATATTGTTTTGAATGATTTTGGGGTAAATAATAAAATTAGGGCAGAAATCAAAAAGTTATTTGAAACTAATGAGAACAAAGATATAACATACTAGAATCTCTAGGACACAGCTAAGGCAGGTTTAAGAGGGAAATTTATATTAAATACCCACAGCTAAAAGTTAGAAAGATCTCAAATTAACAACCTAACATCGCAACAGAAAGAATTAGGAAACAAAGAGCAAACCAACCCCACAGCTAGCAGAAGACAAGAAATAACCAAATCATTGCTGAAGTAAGGAAACTGAAACACGAAAAAAACATTCAGAAAATCAACAAATCCAGGAGTTCGTTTTCTGAAAAAATTAATAAGGCAGATAGGTTGCTGGCTAGACTAATAAAGAAGAAAAGAGACGAGATCCAAATAAACACACTTAGAAATGACAAAGGAGATGTTGCCACTGACCTCAAAGGAATAAAAGTAACCATTAGAAACTACTACAAACACCTCTATGCATACAAACTGAAGAGCCCAGTAGAGATGGATGAATTCCTGGACACATTTTTCCTCCCAAGACTGAAGCAGGAAAAAAATGAAACTCTGAGCAGACCAATAATGAGCTCCAAAATTGAATCAATAATAAATAGCCTAACAATCAAAAAAAAAAAAAAAGACCAGGACCAGATGGATTCACAGCCAAATTCCACCAGATATACAAAGAAGAGTTAGTACCATGCTACAAAAAATTGAAGAGATGGGACTCCTTTCCAAATCATTCTATGAGGCCAGCATCATCCTGGTAGCAAAGCCTTGTGAAGACACACACACACACACACACACACACACACAAAGAGAAAGCTTCAGGCCAAAATCCTTGATGAGCATTGATGCAAAAATCCTCTACAAAACACTTGTAAACTCAATCCAGCAGTGCATCAAGAAGCTAATCCACCACCATCAGGTAGCTTTCACTTCTGGGATACTACACTGGTTCAACATTTACAAATCAATAAATGTGATACATCACATAAACAGAACTAAAGACAAAACCACATGATTATCTCAATAAATGCAGAAAGTCTTTTAAAAAAATGTAACATTGCTTCATGTTAAAAAATCTCAGTAAACTAGGTATTAAAACAACATACCTTAAAATAATGAGAGCCATCTATGACAAAACTACAGCCAACATGATAGCGAATGGGAAAAAGCTGGAAGCATTTTCCTTGAAAACTGGCACAGGACAAGGATGCCCTCTCTCCCCACTCGTATTCAACATAGTATTGGAAGTCCTGGTTAGAGCAAACAAGTAAGAGAAAAAAATAAAGAACTCTAAAATAGAAAGACAGGAAGTCAAATTATCCCTGTTTGCAGTTAACATAATTCTATGTCTAGAAACCCCCATAGTCTTGGCCAAAAAGTATCTTAAGCTGATCAACAACTTCAGCCAAGTTTCAGGATACAAAATCAATGTGCTAAAATCACTAACATTCTTATACATGGACAACAATCATGCTGAGAGCAAAATCAGAAATGCAATCCTTTTCACAACTGACACACACACGAAATACCTAGGAATGCAGCTAAATAGTGAGGTGAAATATCTCTACAATGAAAATTACAAAACACTACTCAAATAAATCAGAGATGACACAAACATATGGAAAAACATTCCATGCTCATGGATAGGAAGAATCAATATTGTTAAAATGGCCATACTGTCCAAAGCAATTTATAGAATCAATGCTATTCCTATTAAAATACCAAGGACATTCTTCACAGAACTATAAACAAAACTATTTTGCAATTCATATGGAACCAAAAAAAGATCCCAAATAGCCAAGGCAATCCTAAGCAAAAAGAACAAAGCTGGAGACATCTGGAGATAAAGCTACCCAACTTGAAACTATTACAGGGCTACAGTAACCAAAACAGCATGGTACTGGTATAAGAACAGACACATAGACCAATGGAACAGAATAGAGAGAGCAGATATAAGGCTGAGCACCTGCAACTATCAGATCTTTGACCAAGCAGTCAAATACAAGCAATGGGGAAGGACTCCCTATTCAATAAATGGTGCTGGGACAACTGATTAGCCATATGCAGAAGACTGAAACTTCCTTACACCATATACAAAAATCAACTCAAGATTGATTACAGCCTTAAATGTAAAACCCCAAACTCTAAAAAGCCTGGAAGACAACCTAGGCAATACAATTCTGGACATAGAAACAAGATGCCAAAAACAATCCCAACAAAAGCAAAATTGACAAATAGGATCTAATTTAACTAAAGAGCTTCTGCACATCAAAGGAAACTATCAAGAGTGAACCAACAACCTGCAGAGTGGGATACAATATTTGCCAACTATGCATGTGACAAAAGTCTAATATCCAGCATCTATAAGGAACTTGAACAAATGTACAAGAGAAAAGCAACCCCATTAAAAAGTGGGCAAAGGACATGAACAGACACTTCTCAAAAGAAGCCATATATGTAATCAACAAGCATATGCAAAGAAGCTCAATATCACTGATCATTAGAGAAATGCAATTGAAAACCACAATGAGATTCCATCTCATAACAGTCAGAATGACTATTATTAAAAAGTCAGAAAAAAATAAAACCAAACAGATGCTGGTGAGGCTGTGGAGAAAAGGAGACAGTGTTGGTTGGAGTGTAAATAGTTTAACCATTGTGGAAAGCAGTGTGGCAATTCCTCAAAGGGCCAAAAATAGAACAACCCTTTACCCAGAAATTCCATTCCTGGGTATATACTCTACTGAATATAAATCATTTTGCCATAAAGACACATGTATATGAGTGTTCATGGCAGCACTGTTCACAAAGGCAAAGATATGAACTCATTATGTCAAGAAATGAGAGATTGGATAAAGAAAATGTGGTACATATATATCATGGGATACTATGCAGCCATAAAATAGAATAAGATCATGTCTTTTGTGGGGACATGGATGGAGCTGAAAGTCATTATACTTAGCAAACTTACACAGGAACAGAAACCCAAATACCACATGTTCTCACTTGTAAGTGAGAGCTAAATAATGAGAAATCACAGACATAAAAAGGGAAACAATACACACTGGCTCACACTTGAGGATGGGCGGTGGGAGGAGTAAAAATAACTACTGGGTACTAGGCTTAGTACCTGGATGCTGAAATAATCTGTACAACAAACCCCTGTGACATGAATTTGCCTCATTAACAAACCTGCATATGTTCTCCTATAATAAAAGTTAAATTAACCTATAATAAAAGTTAAAAATAATAAATAAATCTACATGAAACTCCCCAAAAAGCACTTTTCCAATCAAATGTTTACAATGATATCTATGGCCCTCTCTTTCCAACGCACTGAAGATCTAAAGGTTTAAGTACACACACATATACGTTTTTATCTTTGTGTCTCTTTTCATTTTTTTAAATATAAGACGTCTTTTCAAAATCAGAGATTTAATTCATCACTATTGAGCTATTATTTTCCTGTAATCATTTAGAATGAAACAAGCATTTTAAAATGCTTGTCAAATATAGTTTAGAATGTGAATGAAATACCATGAAATGAGTATAATACAAGTACCCAGCAAAATGTTGGATAGGACACATGCTTTTTTACATGTTTCTGAAACTAAAATTAACTAAATCATCAAATCATACATCATTATTCATGCAAATAACTAAAAATTTCACCCTGTAAATTGTTCCCTGTTAGTATTGATAGCTCCAAGTTCATTAAATAACTATGATTGTATCCAGCCTTTGTCTTTTCTTCACAGGAACTTCATTCTCCAACAGTGAAAGTTACTACATATCCACAGACCACTATTAGGAAATATGTAGTACAAAATCCTGAACAGGTAAGACACAAACTTTTCCCAACATATAATTCTTTAGAAGTTAATTGCTTAAAAAAAAAAGCTTAATCAATTACCCGATCCTTAAGATCAGATTGCTGGGCTTTCTTTTTTTTTTTTTTCATTTATTTTATTGCATTTTAGGTTTGGGGGTACATATGAAGAACATGAAAGATTGTTGCATAGGTACACACGTGGCAGTGTTATTTGCTGCCTTCCTCCCCATCACCTACAGCTGGCATCTCTCCCCTTGCTATGTCTCCCCAACTCCCCACCCCCCACCGTCCCTCTCCTATTTCCCCCCAAAGACCCCAGTGTGTAGTGCTCCCCTCCCTGTGTCCATGTGTTCTCATTGTTCAACACCCGCCTATGAGTGAGAACATGCAGTGTTTGATCTCCTGCTCTTCTGTCAGTTTGCTGAGTATGATGGTTTCCAGGTTCATCCACAGTTACAAAGGAAATTTCTGATTATTAGTATCAACAAATGCCTCCTTTAATGCCAGACAATCACGAGTCTATATATTCTGACTCAGAGATGCAATACTTCCAAGCAGCTTGGAAATTCTTGGGTTGTAAAGATTTTCCTCTTCTGTAGCCCAACCTTTATGCTGCAAAGGGCTTTTATGGACTTTGAACAAACAAAAAAATGGACAAAGTTCTTTTATAGCCTTTACATAAAAGCTCTGTCAACTGCTATACCAAGGGTTAGAGTCTTCAGGCTATTCACATTTGTCATGGAGATACGGACTAGGAAGATGAAAATTGAAAGTCTGAAGTTAAAAAGTGTTCCTATGCCTTTATTGCCTCTGGTGTGTGAACACTTGTTCCCAGTAATGAATTGTTTAGAATACATTACCTTTTTACTGAGATATATATCCTTACATTTCCCAAACTAAGATTCCACTTTAATAATCCTTCCTCAATACATGCATTCACATTCACGCACACATACTTCTTTAGCTCCAAGAGGAGGCTCTATGAAATTGTAAGGACATCAGTTTCACAATTGGCAACAGTATGATCCAGATAGGACTACAGCAGTTCTTAGCTTTGCTCTGTGTTTTTCTTCCGTAATGGGAAACCATCCTGCCCTTCCCTTATAAGATAAAACAAACTGCTTCAGCTGTGGAAAGGAAAGGGTTAGATTAGAGTCCTGCTTGCTACTATTCTGGGTGAGTGGGGAAGATGTACTAGGCTTCTACAAGTATCTATTCCCTTTCTTCTTTATTTATTTATTAAAAATCATCTTCTTGTGGCTCCTTAGCTAGGGAGGCTGCTAGTTGTGCATGTGTGTTAGTATGAACCTATGAGGTTCTGAATTGAGGAGTGATTGTTTTAGACATTTGCTTGAGTTTTCATATATCCATGTAAATATTGAAAGGGCATGTTATTACAGCTAAATCAGTTGCCTATTCCTCCTTTTGCAGAATCAGATATTTAAACAACAAATCTGAGCAGGGTGGAGGTAGGGAGGGGAAGGTAGGGAGGGTGGAGATATGAAGGGTCTGGGAGAGGAGAATGTATCTCTTTCTGTTACTTGGCCAGTCACTTTACACACATTCCTCTTCTTCCTTTCCCTCTCTCTTTTTCTTTCTTTTTACACATAATCTGAGGGATATGCATACTTGGATGCATATTGCACTTGATACTCCTTGCTTTCAGAGTTAGTTCTAGATAACCCGTTATTTTCATAATGTGAGAATTGCTGTGCTTACCTAGGATATATCCAGAGAGATTTTAAATGTCCAGTCACTTAGGTTCCAATCTACTTTGCCAGCAATACTTACATGACTTTGGATGAATCATAATCTTTAGTTAATAGAGAAAAGGAAGAATTAATAACTTTTGGGTATATACTCCATGCTAGGCAATTTCAATATTACATCCTGTTTAATCCTAAAAAGGGGAAAAAACAGAAGCACAGAGAAATTCAGTCATTTACTCAATAAATATTTATTGATTGGCTACTATGTGCCAGAAACTGCACTAAGAACTGGAGGATAAAGCAGTAAACAAAACAAGGTCCCAACCTTCTTCAACTTAAGTTCTTAGCTAGTGTAAAACCATTCAATTACAAAGCAGCAAAATTGGAATCAAAATTGAAAGTATCAGAGCCGGAAGTGAAACATTTGCAAATGAAGGACATTGATGATGGAGGTCAATTAGGATCTAATACTCACCTATGCACCCCCTTACCCACATGTAGGTACAAGAACAGAGAAATAAGAAATATATATGCAAGCACCTAACATATTGGAAAAACTGAGCCTACTCCTGTAAAAGCTCATCAGTATGGCTGTGTTCAACTACAAGTTGAACAAGTTTGTAGTTGAACACAGCCACATTAAGTTTTCTCTCAGGACAAATTCCCAGCAGAGGGTTGAAGAAAATGGTCATTTAAAGTCATTTAACTATTTGCATTATTGAGAAATGAAACAGATTTCAAGTTTCATGATGCTTTATAATCGAAAAATAATCTAACTTGTTTTACAAAGCACCTTGAAATTCCTGTTTAGCTATACCTACCATTTTATTTATCTAAGCAGATTCCTTTTTTGTTTGCTCTTTAAAATCCCCTCAGGAGAAGATTCTAGTTTAATTACAATATTTATAATAAGTTGAGCCTTCTAAATAGCAATTTCCTCCTCTTTCGCCTCCCAGCTTGTCTAATCTTTATTTTTTTCCTGTAATTAAACTGATTTCAATCCACTTCTTTCATTATGATTTTTTCTATCTCTGTTAAGCCTTTTAAATTTTTTCTTGTTCCTGATCTTCCTTATTCTCCGTTTGTGGTCATTTAATCTAAGAATTTATGCATTCTGTTTAAAATTAGATCCAGAAATGTAGGAAATACATTTGTTCCATTAGTGATATCATCCAATTGATACTAATCAATTTCATTAATTTTCCAGTTGTGAAACTCCTGCTATGGGGAAGACACTATGCAATCTCTCAACAGAAACAGGGAAATAACACATGTTTCCTAAACTAAAGGAGCACATAGTTCTTCTCAGGGAAAGAAATAAGACAGGCCCACAAATAGCTATGTAGAATACATGGTGAGATGTAGGATAGATGCCATGAAAGGACTACAGATAAATTCTTATCGGAGTTCAGATGTCAGAGTTAACACATTAGTTTGAGGGAAATCAGGGAAGGATTTATTGTGGTATTCAAGGTATTAATATGGTTAACCTTGTATTAGCATTGTTTTACTACTAAGGAAATGAAAGTTTGAGTAAGTGTAACTTGCTCAGGTCTTCTGATGAAAATTCATCACTCTCTATCTTTTCTGACAGCTATTTTAGTGGGTAGCTTTAACAAGAGTCGATGACTTACTGGATGTGGAGAAAAGTCAAATATGACCCTAAGCTTTTTAGCTTGAGACACTGAGAGTAAGGTGACCCACTTAAAACGATTGAAAAGTGAGTGGGAGGAGAAGTAGATTTAAAAAGGTTGAAATTTTGAGTTTTATTTGAACCAGTAGCGTTTTAGTTGCCTGGAAACAGAAAGATGCCTAACAGGCAGTTAAAAAATGACTCAAAGGAAGGTCACATTTGACATAGAGATGTGGAAATCATTCCTCTTAAAGGTATATCATTGAAGCTATGGGAATCAGTGAGACAACTAAGAGGTAATGGAGAATGTTGAGGTCAGAACCTTGAGAAATGGCTACTTTAAGTGGACAGAAGGAAGGAACCACTTTCACACACAGAGGGGTTATCAGAGAGATATGTGAACACACCGCAACTGAAGCAAATGCAAAAACAGGGTGATTAACCATCTTAAATGACCAAAAGACGTAAGAAGATGAGGTTTGAGAATAGGGTTTGTCCATTAAGAAACTGATAGTGACACTGATAGAGCAGTTTTGGTATACTTGTGGAGGCAAAATTCAGATGCAATAAGTTAACAGGTGAGCAAATCCAGAGGAATTGAAAATATGAATGAAGATTACTCTTCTGGAAGTGTATTGGTCAAAGGAAGGAGAGATGGGATGGTCGCTAAAGGAGAATCAAGAATCTTGTGCACCTGGGCAACTTGTAGCTAGAAAAAACAGTAATAAGGGAGGCTAAAGATGCAACAGAGAAAAAAGACAAATTGGATAATATTCTGGAAGAGCTAAGAAGGAATGGGAATCTAGGTACAGACCAAGAAATGACTTCAGGAAAGGAGAGAGAGAGAATGCATTTTTTTTTCCTTAAGTAGATGGAGGGAGCAGAAAAGGGAGATTTTTGACATGTGAAGGAAAATAGAGATATATCATTGGATAGATTATTTTGGTTTTCTCTGTAAATAGGGGGAGTGTGAGAGAGTATAAGCACAGGAGTTGAGGAAAATGAAAATATTTGTAAGCAACATTATGAAGAATTTGATGACTACAAATATAACCAAAAAGGTCGAAGGGTCTACTTGAAGTTGAATATCTTCAAATTGTAATGAGCCAAATCAGCAAGTCTACTTTTAAAACAAAAATTTCTCCACCAAGATTTTGGGGCCTGGGAAGAGTAAAGTAGATGTTGGGGATTATATACTTTGTTAGACGTGAGAATTACTGCCAGAGGTTCTAACTGGTACAATTAAAATTATAAGATCCACCACTTTGAAAACACCTATTAATTTCTAGGGTGGATCTGGCACCAATTCAAATGAACAGGTTGAGAAAAAGAAGGTGCCAAAATCAAGAACTGTCTAGCAGCTCATTTGTTGAGAAATCTAAAAGTTCCTATTAAATTTACTTTGTTGATTTATTTTCATAGAATTATTTATATTCATTTTTTATTCACTCTCTTACAGATTTGGGGAAGATACTAGTCCCCTAAATTTGGAGGGATTTTTCTTTTTTCAGTAAGTCATTTCACATAATGTAACCAAAATACATTCAAGAGAGAATCAGCACTGTTAGTGCCTAGACCATTTTATTTTTTAAAAATGACTATTCATCATTTTTAGTGAGCTTTATTTCACAGAAAAAAAATTCATGCTTTTGCTGAATTTGTTTTCCCTCTCTTAGAGGATGATTACATTCCTAAGATAAAGATTCTTATTATTCCTTCTCCCTCAATCTTCTGTTCATTCACTATGTGGTACTCTAGATAGTCAAAGTACCTGCCCTTAGTAAGCCTACTTGTGTATATTTTTATACTTGGTATTTTAGAAAAGTTATAAGGAAATTATCAAAATTATTTAAAATACGGTATGGATTTTAAATATTATATTACTATATTATTAAAAGTGAATATCATTTGTGCATTAAAATTATAGATTAAGGGTACTTTAAAACACGTGATTTTACTTAATATTCTGCATTACTCTCCCTATGCTAAGAAAACTCAGCCTCCAATAAGGTTAATAGCCTACATAATTTTCCACAGCACATAGGTGAAGGAAGAAGAACTGAAATACTGGTTTTATGATTCCATAATTTTTTCCCATTATACTTTCTTTCACTGATTTTAGTAGTCAAACCCAATGGATTTGCAGTAATCCAAATTCAATCCACTTTATAATTCTCATCTGTTTACCACTGTGAAACATTTCTACCTCTGACTTCCTACTGCTTCTTGAAAATTTCTCTTTTCTTAATTTACAGTATTTTCCCTTCTAAGACCTCTTGAGACATGTCTAGTTCTGTCTTTGATCTTCATTTGCTTATTCAGCAATTGCCTGGTTTTATCTAGCACTAGTGAGCAGGTGGTATTGATATATATATAATAGATCTGCAGCCTTGCACTCCCCACTTAGTTCCAGACCTCTGTTTTCACTTGTGTGCTGAACAGCTATATCTGAGTGTCTACCCAGATGTTTTTTTGTAAAAGCGTCTTTTTGGGAGTTATTTGCAATCATTTGACACATGTTAAAGGAATTACTATGCACTATGTACTTTGCTAAATATTCTGGGGAATAAAAACATAATCAGACCTAGATTTTTATTAGGAGCACTTAAAATGTGTCTCAGCATTTTCATTTTTGGTAGCACATAGTAGACTCCTCAGGTTCAAGATCTCAGAGTCAGTTTTGAACAGTACTGTCTTGTATTATTGGGATAATCTTACCACTATCCTCATCTGTATTCTTCCTTTAATTGATCTTCCTGAAGTAAACTTCATCTCATACCCCTGTTTAAAAGCACGTAAAGACTTCTCATTGCTTGAAGAACCAAGCTCTATCTACTAAGTATGTCCCACACATATTACTTACACTTTTCCAAACTTGGTGACTTTAATGGTTTTGTTTCCTTCGCTTGGAATACCATTTTCTTCCATTTTCTCATATCCAAAGACCACCTTAATCTCCTTTCAAATGCCACCTAATCCAGGTACCTTACCGGAACACTGCCAGATAGAACTCAGTTTTGTTCCTCTGAACTCCATCCCATATGTTCTTTCTCTGTACATGTAAGGGCACTTGTCACTTTCTATCTTGTATATATGTTTGTGTTCATATATGATCTAGATCAGGGATTGGCATAATTTTTCTGTAAAGAAACAACTAATAAATATTTTTGGTTTTGCTGGCCACATAGGGTTTTGGCCTTTGTTGTTCATTTATAGTCCATTAAAATCTAACTACAATTTTTAGCTTGAGGACACAATAAAAACAGACTGTCTGCCATAGATTGATGAATCTTGATCAATATTAAATGCTCCTGGTAATAATACAAGTCTGGCTCATATTTTTATGCCTGATAGCATGTAGCAAAGTACACTGTGCATAGCAAGCACTTAAGCATGTGTTCCATGATTGCACGTAACTAACAAAGAGGCTCTTTTACAAAAACAAACAAATAAAAAATAGCTTCTGGGGAAATCTTTCTAAATATATACAGTTTTAGATTTAATACTTCATCACCTAGTCAGATTTTGTCACTTATATATTTGTTTTACGAAAATACTCAAGGAACATTTGGTTAAAACCCCTTTTGCTCAAACTTGAATTCAATATGTATATAACTTTTGATTCAAGAGCATCTTGCCTTTTCAACAATGAGTGTTTTAGTCCAGTTGCTCTATGACTATTTACAATTTCAGACTACAAAAATCCTAGTACATTTTGTTGATTTTGAAATATTCTTTAATACATTAACTAGTAACAGTCTTGCCTATATAGTCTTCTATACTATTCCCCTATATCACAAAATAAATTAATGCAAGTTTCGTTTTGTAGAAAAACAACAAACAAAACAACCCCAGCACTCCCTACACAAGTAGACTTCAAATGAAAACCAAAGGAAGGGAAAAGAACATGGCACACATGACATTTATTTTAGACTCCTGGTCTGATTCTTATGAGCTCTTCCCAAGTTTCAGATTTTGGACATGTCACCAGCCTATATTTCATCGGCTGACATCTTCTAGGCACTCAGCTAATCTTACAGCAATTTAGTTGAATATATGGAGATAAAGTGGCTCTTAAAGCCTCTACTCTCCTCTTAATATTCAAAACATATGTTATTCTGAGAGTCTTAGCCTTGATTATAATCACAATTAAGAATTATACATTTCAAGGACAACCAAATTGAGTTGCAGGAAAAAACTCTTTAATATAGTTCTACCTACTTTATGGCTTAGTCATGCTGAAATATGTTTATTTTGCATTTCTCCAATAATATTTTTGCATAAAAAGAAATCTTTCAGTGAACCCAATTTAAATGAGATTGACCTCATGCTTGCTTACCTTACAGGAGACTCATTATATCTTGCCTTAGGAACAGAAAGAAAATTATCTTTCCCACTCCCCACCAATCTCCACAAAAGACTTTATTAGGCCTAGTAAAATGTAATAAGAGAAATCCAGATTGTTCTTTTTGATAGAGGAAACTATTATTATTTCCTTGCATCTATCAACATTGTTGAGATGTCATTCCACTCTCTTCTTAAGGTTGGCTACTACCCTTGGAGCCTATTAGACACTGGATATTTGCCTAATTTAAGGTTACTCTGAAAAGATACCTTTCAAAACAAAACATATAATTTACTGTCATTTTAGGAACCACTGTCTCAATTCTTAAGAGGAGGCCATTTTTTCCCAGGAAACAACGTTATTTATGAAAAAACAATAAGAAAAGTGGAGAAGCTGAATACTGATCAGGTAATAAGTAATATTTTTTTTTAAACTGCGTTATGGTGTATAATTTCGAATTGTGAATATTTTAATAGAGATCAAGGGACATTCAACTGTGAAGTGACAGGCAAGACCACCATGACTTATAATATGCTATGATATCTACAGCCCTTTATACTATCCTTAATAGTTTCATATTCATTTTTCATGTGAAGTATTATTGTCCCCATTTTACTGAAAGAGAATTGAAGTCAGGAAGATATGTGATATGTGAAGTCACATAGAAAATTAATGACAGATATGTGAAGTCACATAGAAAATTAATGGCAGAATCTGAACTTAATATAGATATCCCAGTGCCTTGTATGTTTTCTTTTAAACTGGTGCAACAAAAATCATAATTTAAAACCTTAAAATTTGTCCTAATTCTTTTAAATGAACAATACATATAAACAGATATGTGAAATACCACATACTGTAAAATATCTAGAAAACTAAAGCTTCAAGTGCATTTTAAAAATTCTTTTAAGCTCAAATCGACAGACCAATTATAAAACTACAGCAAGGTCACAGTAATTCCATGGCGTCTATAGCACTAAGTCCTTCATGTGGAGTTGTTACTATGACCAACAGAGGGTTCATATTGCTCTTCTCAGTGTGTACAAGCATGTGCAGCCCAATGTCCAGGATGTGTCTGTTGGACATTCTTGAACTAGAGCAGTATATTAGTTAGTTAGGGCTGCTGCAACAAAGTACCACAAACTGCATGGTTTCAAACAACAGAAATATATTGTCTCAGAGTTCTGGAGGCCAGAAGTCTGAAATCACTGTGTTGGCAGGGCCATCTTCTCTCTGAAGCTGCTAGAGAAGGAACTCTTCCATTCCTGTCGCCTTGCTTTTGGTAGCCTCAGACATTCCTTGGCTTGTAGATGCATCACTCCAATACTTCGACTTCATATGGAAGCTTTCCTGTGTGTCTTCACATCATCTTTCCTCTTTGCATGTTTGTTTCTGTGTCCAAATTTGCATTTTTATGAAGACACCAGACATATAGTATTAGGGCCATCCTAATGACTTGATTATCTCTATAAAGACTCTTGTCTCTAAATAAGATCACATTCTGAGTTACTGGGCTAGGACTTCACCATATCTTGGGTGTGGGAGGATACAATTCGGCCCATCATAGGCAGTTAAACACTATCAAATCAGTTGTGATAACAAAATCATTTTTCTCATATGCAAATCAAACTGACTAAAAATTCTAGCTTTTCCTTTTTGAACTTTTTGACATGAGAACGCATTTTATTTTTATGAGCACCTGTGGATGTTTGTTACCGCATTCATAGGAACTAACACATTATTACTTATTTGTGTCCAGTTAAAATAAAACAAACTTTCAAAGTCATAAACATGCAAATCTTTAATATTTTGGTTTGCTTGGAAAGCTGGATATAATCTGAAGGGTTTGCTATGGTATGTATTGAACACATATCTTACAAAGGAGCAGCATAATATTCCTGGACATTATGATACCAAGTAGAAAAAAATTCATGAAATGTGCCTATTCTTCAAGGGGCATTTTCCTTTATAACAAACCAAATTATAACATCTGTCTTTTATCCAATTGGGCTACAAAAAATAAGTTTGACACATTTTAAATAGTAAGGAATTTTAGAGGCAAATCATTTCATGCTGCTTCTAGCTTCTTGTTTTAAGGAGAACAAACAGTGTTTCTAATTCATGGATTGTAGAGTAAAACATTGAATATCTTGTAAGTTGTTGCTATGCAGCTGGAACAACTAAAGAATAGCTCCTTTAAGAGAATACTGCTGCTATTTACTGTTAATTTGAATATTTACTTGTTTATGCCCACTTTTCTTCTTAATTACTTAAACAGTTTGGGAGTTTGGGAACCTCCGTGAAATCTGCCCAATGTAAAAGGAACCATGCAGATAGAGCAAACTACAATTGCTTTGTTCTAGTAGTTTCCTCAGTGATGGAGATAAACTAGGACAATTTGGGTAAAGCCAGAGTCTGGATGAACCTATTTACTGTCACATGTGACCAAATCAAATAGGACGAGCTCTTAGGAGTTGAGAACTGTTCAAGAAAAAAGAGATCTTTATAGAGGAAGGGTGGTAAAGTGGGGCCAGGTGCTAGATAACTATAAAATTCATATGATTTGTACTCATCATAATTCTTTTTACTCTATCAAAAAGGAAAAAAAATCTATGACAAATCAGAAATGTTTGATCTTTTGTACTTTAAAATTCAGCTTATTATATTTTTTAAAAATATGATGAATATATGAATATTTTGCTTTAGAAAAAGAACTTTAGTAGTCAGGTGTAAGAATTGAAAACTGAAAACCTGCTAAGACCTCAGTGGTATCAATAAACGGTTCATAGGCTCAGGTAGACTGCAAGGTACCTCAGATGATGGGAATGTGAGTGTTCTATTCAAGAGACAATTGATACATCAACAAAGGAAGATTATTGAGAAATACGTTTTGTTTTCTTTGTTGACCTCTAGTGATGTGTGCTTTCCAAGTGTTCCTTAATTTGCTTTTTGAAGAATATTCTGTTTTGTTTTGTTTTATTCCTTCAGGAGAGATTATATTTCAATAGCCTACAAGTTCCCAAATGAGTGGTAGTCATCTCAGACTGTTAATGTAATTTTACCTCATTCCAGTATATGAAGGTATTTTGTAACATAAAAGACAATAATAATGTAACATACATTCACCCCCCAAAATTCCTAAACCGTCGAGATTTTAGTGCTTGTATATGTACAAAGTCTGTCATATTTGATAAGAGTCTAGAGAAAATGATATCCTGAACTTATTCTGCAACCTTTATTATGTCTATATCTACCAAGGCATCTTCTATTTGTAAAATGTGCTTGTTTATATATATTTCATTCTTTCAAAATATTTTTGTATACATGAAATGGTAATTATTATATATTAAAAATATTAAGTATAAAAAACATTGAAAGGCATAAGAAGAGTATAAAAAGGTATACAGTGACAAATAAACCTCCTTATCCAGACACTTTTGTCCCCAGGTTCTCTTCCCAGAAGCAGCTACTCTTAAAACTTTTTTGGACTATCCATATCAAAGCAGTTATATGTGTTTGTAAATGTATATGTCACTTTAAAAAAATGTTACAGTAGAAAAAGTATACCATTTCATTCTTTTGCACTTTGTTTTTTTTATATTTAATACAGCTTGAAAATTGTTTCATATAAAAAATTTAAAATCTGAAGTGTTTTACTGTATTAATTAATATAGGTCAAGTTTCCATAGTCAATAGGATATTGAAGGTATAATGCATTGCATTTATACTTTCAAAATTAATGGTATGTGCATACACGTAGCATTATGATTCAAAATAGAGTGTGTTTCTTTTGAAAACGGGCTTCCAGATGTCTCTTATCAAAGTAGAATAATCACAAGATAATAAAACAAATTCAAGTATGCCTGAAATCCCCCAAAATAAAATAACCAGGTAACTTTTCCTACTCTGTGCTCTATACTTACCAGAAAAAGAAAGCCATGACAAATAAGCAGATAACAAAGATTTAGTTTAAAAACAAATTCTAGAATATCTTGATGTCAGTGCAAATTCAGCCTAATAGCCTAAAATAAGTTTAAGCTGGAAATCATGAGTTCCACTTCCAAGTTTGTCATTAATTAGCTGTGTCATTATACATGAATTATCTTACTTTTCTAGATCTCAGAGGTTTTTTTTTTCCATCTGCAAAATTAGTAGGGTAGATGATGATAAAGTTGGTGATGACTATGATAATGCTTATGATGCAATCATAATAATAATGTTTGTTACTCACCTACTTTGTAGTAAGCAACTTATAGACATTAGTTGATTTACTCCTCATAGCACCCCAAAGGAATATGTACCATATTCACTTTTACAAATGGGGAAATGGAGGCTCATAGTGGTTGCATATTCAGTTTCTCAAGATCAGAATTAGTGATAAAATCAGACGTAGCATCCATGTTTTCTTGATCTGAAGTTTCAGTCACTGCTTTTATTTATTTAACATTTTAAGAAATTTATACTTAAGTTTCATAAGGATAAGAACCTTGCTCCCCATCCACTGTGACTCTAATATGCTTCCTGACATTGAAAATCACTATGCTATATTATTTTTTAATTTTAAATTTATCTATATCTTCAGCACTATAGTGTTTTATGTAATTAGGTTCTGAAGTACCTACTGAATCATCAAAGTAATATCAATTAATATTAATATTCATTATGGTTTTAGTGTCAAGTATAGCTGGAATGTTAATTTAATCAGAACATGTAATGCCTTGGCCAATCTATATAAGTATTTGAATGGTCACAGCAACCTGATCAAATATAAATACAATTTAATACAAAATTTCCCCAATGAAAAAAATGGAAAAAATATCACTAGTTAAAACTATAAATCCTACGGTTTGAATTAGAGTGAAATAAAAAACTATATTTAACAAAATGGTTTCAGTTGTTTTTCTTAATCAGTAATGTTTATCCTCAGTGGCTATTTTTGGCATGTTTATGTGTCTTAGGAATGCCATCCTCAGGTTCAATGCCATCATCACATTGTCCAACAACCCCAAGTCATCCACTCTTCACACTGGCAACAACCTGATTCTAGCCAGCAAATTCAAACCATCACAGGAAACAATTCAATTTCTACACATGTTGGAAATAAACTGTGCCATAGTGGATCAAGCCAGATTCATGAGCAGGTAAGATCAATTAGCTGATTCCTTAACAAACTGAAATAACGTGCTTGAACTCTTCCCATACCACTGTGCAGGTTCTCCCATTAAATTTTCATCAAAATACTGAGAAGTTATACTATTGGTATTTGTGCTTTGTCAGAGTATTTTTAGAATAAATCTTTCCATCTTCTCTCAGAAGACAAAACAATTTAGGTCCATTAAGACATTAAATCTATAAGATTAGTAATGAACTGGTTAATGAATACCTAATTTGTAGCTGATCTTCAGTTCTAAAATGGATCCAACAATTGTGCAATGTTATATATTTTCATGAGGTGTGGTATTTAAATGAATAACAAATTGGAAGTGATATTGTCTAAGATGGTTGTAATGGTCACATTTCACCAGCTAGTATTTACTTCCTGTATGTCTTCTTTGAGAATATATTATTTGACTTAAGAATCAAGTCAAAATGTGTAGATTTTATTATGCATGGCACTGACAAAATAGAACTAGAACTTAGTTGCTAAGGGGAAATCTCTTGTAATACAATCCTTGGTAATTAATTTATGTTATGAAGACTTTGGAATCTTGTAAACATCTACTATACAAGTGTTAAAGGAAAAAAGATTTTCTTTTAACTTTTATAATAACTGGAACAATGGAGAATCAACTATCATTTGTACTTTTATAGATCTCCAATTGACTGCTTTCATAGGCAACTCTTACTAAATGACAAGAGAAAATAAGAAAACATAAAGAAGGAGCCAGCCCAAATAAGAGTTTGATTATTTTATATTAAATATACATGAGATTGTTTCTAAGAACTGAAATGTTGAAATATACATTTTGGCCACATTAGTCAAAAAGAACTATGAAAGATTTAAAATCCATGTCTCTTCAATCTAAGAAAAGCCTATAGCCAGGTCTGGTGGTTCACATCTGTATTCCCAGAGCTTTGGTAGGCCAAGGCTGGAGGTTCATTTGAAACCAGGTTGTTCAAGACCAGCCTGGGCAACATAGTGAGAGCTTCATCTCTACAATTTTTTTAATTTGTTAATTTTCTTAAAAAGCCTAAAATTGCCTTTCTTCTGTATATCTGCATAGAAACACTGGCCTCTAGAATAACTCATAGAATACAATCCAGAAGGTGTTGAATATTTACCTTAAGTGAATTAGTAATAACCATAAAAGAGACATTTTGTTAGATTATACCACTAGAAATTGTCATTTTTATAGGTTGAAACTGGTATAATATCAACAATTTTATACAGTTCAACCTAATTTTTAACTTTATTTTGCCTTAGTTTCCTCTAATAGGGGAAAGTGGCAAGCACATATAAAAGCGTACTACAGAGCAAAGTGCTTTCTGTCATAAAAGAGTAAAATACAACATGCTTTGGGTACAGAAGAGAGAAGAAATTAATTTCGGCTGAGAAATCAAGAAAGGCTGTATTGAGCAGGAAGTAATTAACCTGGGCTTTGAAAAAGGGGCAGAATTTCCATATATGGTATTGTGATATTGCATGGAAATAATATCCTAGGAAGAAGGAATCACATAAACAAGTTATATAAAGTTTATTTGGGAAAGTACATTTTGGGTTTCAGGAAAAGTTAGGGGTTTTATTTGTATGGCATGAAAGACATGTGATAAGAGGTATTCGAGTGTAGTGTTAATATGATACATTAAGGCCAGATCATGAGATTCTTAAGTGTTAAGTTAAAAACTCTGGGCTTTCTTTAGTAGGCAATGGAGGATGAGTGGTTACTGAGAAGGAAAAGACTAACAGGTATGGCTAGCATATTGATCAATTTTCTTCTTAACAACAATCAGATTAGGAAGGTGGTATTGTTGTCCTTACTGCTCAGATAAGGAAACCAAGTTTCAAAGAGTTTAAATTATCTGCAAAGGCTTGCACAGCTAGCATGTGGTAGAGCCAGGATTGACACATATGTAGGCTGGCTACAGAGCCCATTGATAATTCCTCCTTGAATTCGGGTCACTTATGTGGAGAGTCCTTGAGCAATAGCATAAGCATAAACAAAGCACTTGGTTAAGAAGAGTCTGCCACAGGGAAGGTGTTGGTGATAGAAAGTAGACTAGTTTCAGGATATGGAGACCTGAGATCTTGTCCTAACTCTGTTCCCCTCAAGCTATGTGTTTTCAGTAAAACAAAATCTCTCAGCAACATCCTCATCCATAAAATACTAAATAAAAATATGTGCTGGAAATTTTTTATAAACTACAAAGTCTACAACTTGAAATAATCCACAGAGAAAAATTGGCAAAGGGAAGATTATTAGAGGCTATTTCAGTAGTCTAGGTGTAAAACAAAGTAGAATAATTACAATGTAAATGGTAGGAGGGATAATTATCAGAGATGGGAAATGTATCACAGGATTAAGAGTTTTGCCTAGTGGCAACAGTAATGTTATAATATTCTTTTCCCAGCTTAGTACATCTAATAATACATTTGATTAGACTACATATTGTCTACTCAGTAAAGGGGCAGAGTTAGGTAACTAATATATCACTTTATTTTTTATTATTCATACTGTAGTTTGAAATTTCTATGTAGTTTTTTTAAAGTCTAGAGGATGCTTTTTTCTTTACTTTAATTTTATTAAATTCTGCTTTTTCCATTTTTGATAATTTCTTTTCTATTATTATACTTTAAGCTCTGGGGTACATGTGCAGAACGTACATGTTTGTTACATAGGTATACACGTACCATGGTGGTTTGCTGCACCCATCAACCCATTATCTACATATGTATTTCTCCTAATGCTATCTCTCCTTTAGTCCCCCACACCCCTGATTTTTCAATATTTTATAAGGACAATGTTGAAGTGCTGCTGAAAATAGAATAGTGCCCTTGGAAGCACTAGACTATTGGAAGCTTAGAGTTAGTAATTTCACTTGTATAGATTTCATTGGATTGGGTCCATTTCTACTCAGAGTGATGACAGGGTAACCTGGTTGCAGAGATCCAATGCACAAAGGAGGGCAGACAGAGAGTTCTCCCACCTAGACTCCTTGGTGTTTACATGTCCCCTGTAGTGATATGTGGGTAGAAGAGTATCTTTAAAGAGTGATAAGCAGACATAGGTTAGGCTCTTTTAAAACTACAGTAGGACCCATTTTCACAGTTTGTGTTTAGAATTAAATTGTAATTTGGAAGGAACATGGTAAAGAAGAAAGAACACAGGCATTCAATTTATGTATCTGAATTTATAAAACCTGATTCTGCTGAGCCGTATGACCTTCAGCAATAGACTTAGCTGGACTGAGCCTCAGTTCCTATATCTCTAAAAGGGGAAGAATCATATTTTTATGTACAGTATATCCTACAAGAGGACTATATGAGATAAAATATATAAAGCGCCTAGCTTAGTGCCAAGTACATAGCAGATGCTGAAATAAACGTTTGATGATTGATCTTCTTCCCCCAACTCTGGGTCACAAATGTTTCAAATCACCAACATAAGAAATTAGCTTCATTGTAAGACTATTTTTAGATGAAACTAGATCGCCTTTAACATACTTTCCCCAAAGTGAAAGGCATTAGAAACATTTTTCTAAATCAGATATTTAAAAACCTTGCTTTACAATATTTTTGTAAAATAATTTGTGTAAATTTTCCATGGTCCTCCCAAGTAATATCACACTTCTGATTTCAAATTCAAAATATTACCAGTCACATATCCTTCTCTGAAGAAATTAAGGATAACATGCTGTGATCATTTTCCTGTCATTAGCAAGGAACAGATAATTTTACTCCTGTTGGTGACAGGGAAAAGCTCAGCTAAACTCATTTTACAAATCCTCATATAGGTGGCATTTATAAGAAATATTCAAATAAATGTATACCGTGTGTATACAACTCTCTTCCACTTGGCTTTAGAATTCGGGGAAGTCTTTGGATGTCATGGGAAGATGTAAAGGAAACAGTCCTGATCACCTGGATAGTGCTATTGCCAACGAAAAATACTCCAATTTGTGATGCGATGCCTTTAATGAATTGACTAAAAAACTCAGATCTTAGTGTCAGGTGGTTTTTCTGGCAGGTCTCTGGGAAGCTCACTATAATGTTTATTTAACATGTCATTCACCAATGGTAGAATTTCAGGACTGGTTAGTTCAATAAACTCAGAAGTTCTGTCTATCCCCTCACTCATTAACAGCTGGCTCAAGTTTCTCTCCATGTTTATTGCCTTCTTCAACCCCATTATTGAAAATGAGTGCTGTTTATGTAAACATCTATCCCCTGCTGTTGCTTCCACAAAGTTAATTAGTGTCCAATTGGGGCTTATCTTTTCCCAACAATACCTTATTTGTCTTCTTCAACCTCTGCAACTTCTTGCTATGGAACCTTTCTGAGCTATTGTTTTATGGCAAACTCAACTTTATTTTCAACAAACTGTTACTTATTTGCTGTTTTAGAAATTAGTTTTTTAATTAAAGTAATACATGTACATACTTTAAAAGGCCAAATAGTACTAAAAAATTCCCTGTCCCAATCCTCTTCACTGCCCAGAGCTGATCCCCAGAGGCCACCATTTTCAATTCTTAGCTTTGTCTTTTGATATTTACTTCCATTTAGCAAAATAGTTATATATAAAGCTAAATGGTATGCATATATTTTTGGTATGCATAAACTTATATTGTGCATATACTTATGCTGATATGTCTTGATTTATCAGTGTTATCTATTATCTGTTGATAATTCTGACACACAAAGGTTTAATTCTATTAATCTCTCATCCAACTGTTTCCATCCCTTCCATCATTCCAATATAGTTAAATCTACATTTATTTTCACTAAATCAGTATTCAGTGTTTATATTATTATTGCTATAAAATATCATTTACTGCTGAACCAACTTTTATTAGCACAACTTTTTGCTGGTGTTAATAATTATCTAATTTTTTTCATTTGTTTGGTTTTTGTGAATCTATTGTTAATTCTTTTCTCTATACACAGTCAAATATTCTGGTTCCTATTGATAAATTATCCCTTATC